CTACAACCAGCCACCACAGGGCTTAGTACTGGCCTTCTCATGCACCCCATTTAAACCACCCGTACTTGGCTGAGCTATCGGCCGCCGAAAAAAATAGAGCAGAAACATTTCTATGTGGATGAATTTGGACGCTCCTGTGGCGGCCCGTACGTTTCCTAAAATCGTGGCGCGTTAACGGGCAGGCCTTCAGGAAGTACTGGTGGTTTACCAGTGGTTTAAGATCCAATCATCGGACCAGATGGCTGGTCCATATTCTCCTCGATGCCCAAGGCCGATCCAATCATCGGACCCTCTGTGATCCGATCCCAGTGTTGCATCCACCAGTTCCATATTCTCCTCGATGCCGGGCAAGTTAACGACAGATGGTTGTCACCAGAGTCTTGCCACATCCATTTACACCGAACATAGGAAGCCGGAAAATCCATCCCATCCCTTTGGCTACCAGACAAACGGCAGAAGCCGTTTCCAACATGGATTCTAGCCACAGAATGCTCGCTAACCGCTAAGAAGGTCGGTGTTTGACTTGCTTCCATATTGACGAGAGCCGTTCTGCAGATATGGGCAGAAGGCCCTGATCTTGTCTTCTCTTAGCTGCTACCCCTTGGGCCGGTTTTTTAACTTTCTGAGAAGGTCAGTGTTTAAACCACCAGTACTTGGGCGACGCCTTAGCGTTAACGCTACGCGATTTCCGCGGCCGGCGGGCCGTCGATAAATCGAATCGACAGCCCGCGCTGCTTCGAGATTTGGGCGACCGGCGCGGCGCGCAGTGCCCAAGTACTGGTGGTTTAACTTGCTTCCATACTGACGAGAGTCGTTCTGCAGATATGGGCAGAAGGCCCTGATCTTGTCTTCTCTTAGCCGCTGGCCCGCTACCCCTTGGGCCGGTTTTTAAACTTTCTGTTGCAGTAATCTTGTGCCTTCTTTGGTAGAACATTTCATCCCATCCCAACAACCTCTGATTCTGCACATGCCCCCAACCCACCGTCCTGCTGTCCGTTGGAGCTAGTTTCACTGAGGACAAGCCTCGCGGAAGAGAGGCTCTTATTAACAACAACGTACCTCCCGCCGGAGCTCTTAGTTCTAACAACAATTTCCTAGTAGCCCTGCAAGGTATCCAGTCTCACATCGCCCCTTGAGTCGAAGTTCTGCTGAAGGAAAAGTCGCTGGGCGGGGACCATTCCATTGCCACCCATCCGTCCCCGCCCAAATCTGCTTTAACCGTAAATACCACATCTTTATGGGACTGTGAGAATAACCATACGTGATCCGTGTAAAAAAAAAAAAAAAAAAAAAAAAAAGAAGACGCCAACCAATCAGTACGTTGATCCAGCTTTGGGAGATAGCTTTCGGTAGCGCGCCTAGCCTAATAGCAACGTGTCTCAGTCCTCCTAGGCAGGCTTTGACCGGGGCAGATCCCTTCCATTTCATAGCTCGCTCATCCCAAATATCGCTAACTCGTACGATCCGGGCCCTCTTTCTACCCAAGCCTTGCCAAAGTTCCCGCCTTCCCTCTTCTTGGCGGATCCTGGGTCGTATGTCAGAACCTGATCAAAAGGCGTCCTACGGTCCTAGGGATATCAACCCGAATACAGCGTACGCTCACTATTGCTGTATCTAGATTCTAGACTCTAAATTGCCCCACATTCAGCTATAACGACCGAACATTTATTGGGTTGACGAGGGTAGTGCCTCTGAGACCCGTGGCCGATTTTCCTGAGTCCTGAGCTGTTCCCCTCGCCTGCCCTCTTCTTGGTGGGTCGGTGGTATGGCTGAACCTGCTCAAAAGTTGTCATCGGGATATCAACCAGGTCCCCACACCCTGGTTAGGCATAACCCCCCTGTATTCTCAGCCGAACCCGGGCCGGGGTAACGGCCCCCCCACATCCAGGGGTTATGCCTCTTTTTTTTTTTTTAGTCATTTCTCATTGTCTTATTTTCGTAACAGGGGTTAGGAGGTGGTATAGGAGCACCTTCCAGCAGGTCCAGATCCCCACCAATAGACTGAGACTGAGCCGACCGGGGTCGGCCCGCCTAGAGGAAGGTGCTCCTGTACCACCTCCTCTTGTAGATCTGCAGATTCTGCACCCTTCTTTTTTTTTTTTTTTATGGTTCGAAAGTCTGCAAAAGAGGGGCAACAATTGCCTTCCTCCCCCCCCCCTTCCTTCCCCCATAGAGGAAGGTGCTCCTATACCACTTCCTCTCGTAGATCTGCAGATTCTGCACCCTTCTTTTTTTTTTTTTTTTTATGGTTCGAAAGTCTGCGAAAGAGGGGCAACAATTGCCTTCCCCCCCCCCCCCCCCCCCCCCCCCCTCTCAAAAAAAAAAAAGACATTTTCCTCTAAGGATTGGAAAAAGGAGAAAGGAAAGAAAAAGGCATCTGGCTAGCTGTGTGAGGAAATGTCCTTTGCATGTAACTACTAAATATTAAATAATAAAATTAAATAAATATCATTTCCAACTTGTAGTTCTTTTCTTTTTTGTTTTTCTCTTTTGTTTGCCCCACCTAAAACTACAATGTGTTCTTCTCTCAAATTCTTTTATTTTTTTTGCCTTTCACTACCTTCCTACCACTACTCCTAAGGGTGAGATCCCACGGGCAAAAAAACGATTGTAATAAGTGTCTGAATCTGGACGCGTTTGTGGACAGGTGCAAAAGGCTGTGATTGATCTGCTTTTCTGCATCTCTGCGTGGAACATGTCCTGATTCAGACACTTATTCCAATCCTCTTTGCCAGTGAGATCTGGCCCTAAGACTAAATAGAGGGGACCCCTGCAACAAGCATAGGGCCTCGCATATGAGGTAAATCATGTTTGCCCGCCCCCCCCCTCCCCCCCCACAACAGCGGTAGTCAGAGATGGGGTGGGACCGCCCATGGGGGTCCGGCTAATGCAAAGACCAAGCATTTTGCCAGTAGCTGCACCTCCCTTTCTCATCGCCCCCCACCCCTCCTCGAGTAGCATCACTGCTATTTTTTTTTTCTTTTTTCTTTTTTTTTCCAATTTTCAATGGACCCTCATTGGAGTATAAAAAGAATATCTGTCATAGACAGGGTTAAAGATTAAAAAAAAAAAAAATTAAAAAAAAAAAATAATAATAATAATAATAATAATAAATAAAATAAAAAGAATATCATGAAATGGGCAGGGTGGGCAGCATAACACAACTTCCTTCCCCCAGAAAATGAACAATTCCTCAATAATAGAAAAAAGGAAATACACACACACACACACACACACACACACACACAAACACACACAAACACACACACACATCTTGGTCGCTGACTAGCGCTGCATATGAGCGAACGTCCTCTGTGCAGACTGAACACAAATTATTTTAAAATTTTATTTTAAAATTGAATAATTTATTTGGATTGACCTTCAGTGGAGTATAAAAGAATGTCGTCAAAAAGGGGCATCATGCCACTCGCAAAACTGTGCCCCAGATCCAAGGTGCACAAGCCGAGGGCACCTTCACCCCCGCTGTAAGGAGAGAAAAAAAAAAAAAAAAAAAAAAAAAAAAAAAAAAAAAAAAAAAAAAAAAAAAAAAAAAAAAAATGAGTGCAAAATCCAGGGTAGACAAACACTAGTAAAAGAAGAGCGCACAGGACGTTACTTCTAAAAAGCTAGAATTATGTCAGCTAAAAAAAAAAGGAAAAAAAAGGGAAAAAAAAGGGAAAAAAAAAAGGTGCATATTCCATATGCAGAAAAATACCAACAGGCCTAGCTCAGTTGGTACACCCCATGATCTGTTGAAACACAGACCCAAGTTCGAATCCAGCCGCGCCATCAGATGACCAGAAAAAAATGCAAAAAAGTAATTCTGAATTACCTGGGGCCGGTGAACTCAATGAGGATATCTCAAGGCCGTCGCCCTTTTTAAATTTGAAAAAAAAAAAAAAAAAAAAAGACTCTTCCTAAGCACTACCTGTAATTTAACCAATCATGGTGTCCAGTCTGACGACGGGTGGCCGGCCAGTCACATCGATCGTCGAGTCTCGCGAGCGGTCCACTCTCCTTTCGACCAGATCACAAGAGAGAGAGAGAGGGAGAAAGACGGTAGAGAGGGAAACGCAGAGAGGCACAGAGAGGCGCAGCTGGCACCAACAGGCCAAGCGCAGTTGGTACAACTGTCACTGGTGAAACACAGACCCGAGCTCGAATCACAAGAGTTAAAGTACCTTTGAATTGACTTGGGGCCGGTCAGTTCCAAAGACTGATAACTCGAGGCCGTTGCTGTTTAAGAAAAGAAAAAAGGGTGCAGCTGGCTATCAAACAAACAGAGGTGCAAAGGCAAAAAAAGGAAAACAGAAACAAACAAACAAACAAACAAAAAAAAAACAGAGCTGCAGCGGGAGAAAGTGGGTGGCTAATAAGTTATAGCCAGGCAAAGGGGCAAAAAACTTGGGTTGAAAAGACAACTGAGAAGTTGTGAGAACATGAGTGGGCAAGCCAAGCACAGAAGAGGAATGTGTTATGAAGAAAGAGGTGATCACAAACAGAACCAAGGCGCAGAAGATGAACTTCTCTGCATTTCGACTTGTTAGCAATTGGATGGCCCAACAGACGAAGAAATGCAAGACAGAGGCACGCATATAGAGAGCGGGGGAAAGTAGGGTAGGGTAACACCACAAGTTAACTTTGTGGTTTAGAATGCAAAGAAAGATGGACCATGCAGCAGTGTGTGTGTGTGTGCGTGTGTGCGTGTATGTGTGTGTGGGGGGGGG